CAGACATTTTTTTTTTTTGCCTTGTTCCAGTCAAAATCACCTGTCACTTTAGTCGCTATAAATTATACTGTGGAGGATATGCTGACCTACTTTAATGTGTCACTCATCTGGAAGCACCAAATAGAAAATCCATTTCAATATATGAGCGGCTTTTATCTGGAATTGCTTAGAACAAACGTGAAGTGATCAAACTGAAAACAGATTTACGTGGGAATATATGAATGTGTAGAGTTCAGACTCGATACTATCGTTTTTTAAGCAGCTACAGCTCACTGCATGTTTGAAAGGTGAAAAATCTAAATATGTATAGAAAAAAAAGATCCTTCCCAAAGTAAGTTTTTTAAAATGAGATTATGTTTCAGCACTTCCAGCTGATTCTAAAAGATTAATATATTATCCAAACTATAAGAAATACACCTGATTATAAGCTGCAGGCTCCAATTTATGGACAGAAAAAGAACTTTGTACTTGTACAAGCCGCACTGGATTATAAACCTCAGCTGTCCCACATTTTAATATTGAAAAATGTAGCACAGTAATGAGTGAGTCACTGTTCTGAATCTTCCAGTGAAGCACAAAGATACAGAGCAACATCTTTTAAACTTTATCCAATCTGCATGATTGACAAGTCTGACAATTTAATTGGACCTCTGTGAACTACTCATCACTTCTGTTCTGGTCGACTGTTACTTGGCAACATGTTTTAGGCGCCACAGAAAAAAAATATATATAATATCATATATCAGGCTGCAGGTAGCAGCCGTCAGCCACGGCTTATAGTTGTAAAAATACAGTATACAAACAGATGGACATTGCTAACCCCTGATCTCAATGAAGCCCAACAGGAAAGTGCTCATTGACAAAGTTCCTCTCTGGCTCCTGTTGACTTACATCCAAAAGTGAACTGAGTAACTTTGTGTGTCACTCGTATCATATTGGACTTCAAAAATCCATGTTTTCGCGCTCCTAATCCTGGACAGACCAGAGTTAGTCCTGATTCGTGCTTGTTCACTCGGCCGTTGCCACCAACACAACTTGTATAAATTTGGCTCCACATTCCCGCTCTAATAGCCCATTCCAGTTCGCTCTAACCGACCTCTTTCTCATTAAGGCGTGGGGTGACGTCAGTCCATTCAAAATTCAAAAACGTGTTTACCATTTGCAGTAAAACCACATTGGAAAAACTATGCAAGACAACCCCAGTGTGCCCCAGACAGATGTTCCTAATATGCAGTCTATGATTTCAAACCAAGGGATTCTAATCTTATGACTGTTAAAGACATGAAGTGTATGATTGTTTGGGTTGTTTGGAAAGGGATTTTTGCATTTTGTGCAACTTTAATGACTGTTTGTGTACAGTTGGATCAAGTCATATTTCAAAAGTCCATTATCCTCTCTCTGATGGTAAATATGTTTGTATCATTGAGGATGGGCAGCTTTGGCAGCAGAGAGGATATAGAACCTGATTCATAACTCTCTATTTTATGTCATAGTGAATGAAATGAAAACTGGGGATGGAGACTTCTGATCAGGTTCATTTGGGTAGTTTCTGCTGTCATTGTGAAAATAGAAAAGACATGCATTGTTAAGTAAAACCACTGACAATGAGTTTTAAATGTATGTTTGTTATCATTCACAATCTCAAATATGGCATTGTTTGTTCTTCGTAATTGCTGCCTGGGGGTGTTGGTTCGTGACTGTATCAATGCAGAAAACCGTTTGACACTTGCCGGAGAGCTGCACTGTCCGCTGCCCTCTGATGCTGCCTCATTACCCTGACTAGTTTTGTTTTGCTAATGGCACAAGACAGCCAATTTCAGCGGAAAAGGTTAATCTGTTTACAGAGATGGACAAAAAACTTAGCAGAGCTGTTGAAGAGAGTTATTGCTCGGGGGAATTTAACATTGTTGCCTTTTATTTGAACACAATGGGCCTCATTCACGAACGGTTCTTAGGAACAGATTTGTACGTAAATCCTAGGTTTTTACGAAGAAAGTGGCATTCACGAATTTTTCTCGTAACCAGAATTTCTCTTGGGCAAGTACAAATCCTACGAGTCCTCAGGAGCACTCGTACGCATTCAGTGCCGACATGTTCACACGCCGGGGTTGTCCTCTTTGGTGAAGTTTAATAAAAATACAACATTACAGTGATATGTCACTGCATTTCACTGCTTTCACTGCTTTCATAGGGCATTTCTTTATCCACGGGCCACAGAACAACGGCATATATGCTGCTGCTGCAGGAGGCTGCGGGGTCCGCGCTGAGTCTCTGCGCTGGTCTCTCCCATGGATCTAGACGGGTCTGCGCTGGTCTCTCCCATGGATCTATACGGGTCTGCGCTGGTCTCTCCCATGGATCTATACGGGTCTGCGCTGGTCTCTCCCATGGATCTAGACGGGTCTGCACTGGTCTCTCCCATGGATCTAGACGGGTCTGCACTGGTCTCTCCCATGGATCTAGACGGGTCTGCACTGGTCTCTCCCATGGATCTATACGGGTCTGCACTGGTCTCTCCCATGGATCTATACGGGTCTGCACTGGTCTCTCCCATGGATCTAGACGGGTCTGCACTGGTCTCTCCCATGGATCTATACGGGTTCGTGCTGCACGCTCCAGGATCTATACCGGTCCGCGCTGGTCTCTCAAGTCTGGTCCATGCGGTCTCTATTTGGTCCGCGCTGGTCTCTGCGCACCGGTCTCTCCAGTCAGGTCTATGCGGTCTCTCCTAGGTCCGCGCTGGTTTCTGTGTGCTGGTCACTCCAGTCTCTCCTCGGGTCTGCATTGGTCTCAGCGCTGGTCCGCGCTAGATCTCCTCCCAGGGTCCAAAATATTTTGAGATTAATCTCAAAACATTTTGAGATTCATTTTTAAATGAATACATAATATATTTTTAAATTAAGCTCATAACATTTTGAGATTAATCTCATCATATTTTTAGATTAATCTCATAATTTTGCTAGTTCAACTTTATTCTCATAATATTTTGACTGTTAAATCAACATTTTATAACTTTATTCTCAGTCTGGCAAAAGAAGAAAAAAGGGTGACTCTTTTGCTCCGTGTAACTCTTTGCTTTAGGCCTGTTGCTGTTTCCTCTGGCGTCTGCACACGGCCCTGCAGTCCCTTTTATGGGCATTAAAGGGCGGTTACCTATGCTAAGTACCTATGCTAATGAAGCACCAGGCACGCGCGCTCTACTTACGAGGAGTTGGCATTCCAAGAAATTAGATATTGGCATTCCAATCAATCCAAGAGAACAGCTGCAAACAATTCAGTGGCTTACGAGCGCGTTGATGAATCCCACGTAGGGTCTTCTTAGAAATTTACTTAAGAACAACTTGAGAAGAAATTTAAGAAGTTTCTTACGAAGTTATTCGTGAATGAGGCCCATTGGCTTTAGTCTCGTCATTTACTAGATTGTGAAGAATACTGAGGATTTCATAAACAACATGCAGCGTCACTATTGGAGCGGCCAGCTGCTATAAAGGGATTAAGTGTGTGTCACTGGGAAAAGGTTGAAATATATCTAAAATAAGAACCTGAAACGACAAATTTTGACTACGGACTGAGTAAATTGAATTGGAGCGCACAGTGTGAAGGTCCCAGCTTTTCTGATAATGGACACAGAATAAAACCACAGCAAATGGGAAAATCTATTCAAAAGAACGTGACTGGTCGAAGCAGTCATCTACTAGCCCCATTAATTAGCAGTAAAACCACTAATTAGTGTATTGGTTTGAGAGGCGGCTGTATCCACTGGGGCTGTATGTGTAGAAGGTTTCAGCTAATGAGATAAATGCCACATGCGGCTGTGCCATTTATCTCCAACATACCTTTTCTTTTGCTTTTTACTCTGTGGGATAATGGTCAAAATTTGTTCCATAACAGAGATTCAAAGATACATATTGCAGACTGTGAAGCAATAAAAGATAGCCAGCCCTTCAGTGATTTCTACATCAGCCCTAACAGACCTCTAAAAATGACATATGCAGCAACATCATGAGCAGTGAGACAGAAGCGAACACACAGGAGCTGCCACAGGTGTCTGGCATCGCTCTTACAGCCCACATTCTGATATATATATGTTTTCTCTTAGGTAATCAAGAAATATATATAGTTTGTACACAGAGGAACATAGTCATCAATGAGTTTACTTGTTTTCTTCCTCTAAAGCTGCATATTGCTGACATGTCATTGTTCAGCCCCACTGGTCACTGACTAAAGCACATTACATTGATTTTTCCTCATTTTGCATATTTTACAACATACTGCATTGATTTTTGCAGCACTGACAGCAATGATGGGGTTTAAATGTGATAAATTGCAGTAATCTTTGAAAAAAACCAAAAACAATTTGACACAATTCTCAGTTTGATCATATGTATTGTGCTAATGTGCTATTCTGAGTTTCTTACATTAACAGTGAGAGAACCATCCACCCACGTCAGTTCGCCACTATGCATCTCAACACGACCTAATCCTGTGTTTTGGAAATGTCATAAAGCAGAAGCTGCCGCAGCCTCTTCAGACTCCAGCAGGGGACAAATTGGTTCATATATTCCATGTCTATGCCTTCACCATGGTTCCAGACAATATAAATCACAGACAGTTCACGGACAGATGTTAAACACATTTGATCATCTATTTGTTGAGAAAAACGGAAGCTTCTCTAATGTGTCCTATTACTTCAATGTCACACTTTCGCAATGAGGAAAGTTTGCTCATCTCATTAAATAAAACATGAAAGAACTACATCAATTCAGCCACAAAGCAACCTGCTTTTGGAAAACACAATATTTGTGTAGCTTTAACAAACAAATGATGGCTTTATGCACCAACACCATCGGGTCTCGCTATAGAAGTGTCTTCTGCTCCCATTGTCATGAATCTTTTACCCTCGGATCACCCATATGAAGTGGCACACATGCTAGAAAACACTTGTATGAGTAGTTAAGTGGGTACTTCAAAAGCAGCCATCGGTGTAACTGGTGGTTTCCATGATTGCGGAGAGTCGTTGTGCTATTGCTCACCTTGTCCCAGCGACTGTGAGCCCCCCTCCTCCTCCTCCGCCACCTCCTCCTCTCCAGATCTGTGTGCCGTGCTGTCCTTCATGTAAATCCACCTCCTTCATAGCCCCACTCGGCATGTCATCCCTCTGTCTGTGTGTGTGTGTGTGCCGCACAGGTGTACCGCAAGCAAGCGTCGAGCAGACTGGCAGAGCTGGAGCAGGCTTCTGAGGGGAGCGCGGCTTCTCACCGCAAGGAGATCCTTCACCTGCAGAGGCTGCTGGGAGAAAGACAAGAGGCAGAGGAGAGGCTGCTGCAGTCCAAGCGGTAGGAGGGGAGAGCTGGGAGGGGGGTGGCAAGCAGGCAGCAAGAGGCAGACATAGGACCAGTGAGGAGAGCGGGAGAAGTGTGATGAACACGCTGCAGACAGACGGCTCCCTGTGTGGGTTGTTACATTTGGGGGAGGAGGGAGAAATGGACACACTTTACAACAGCACAGATACTAAGAGGAGATGGAGCTGTCTACCACAACAGCTCTGCCAAAGCTCACAGTATCCAGAGGAGAAGTTGCTTGACTCCAAAAAAGTGAGATACTCTTCTTAAACATGAAGACTCATTCAAAATAGTTCACCTGCTCCGGTCTCCAAAAGAATCGGGACTTGTCTTGAAATGTTTGTAGTTTTAGTAGTATTATAGTTTAGTATTATAGTTTTTTGGGTAATCCCATTATAAGCAACATTGTTTTTGTTAGGGGGAGGATTATGGGATACTATTTTTAAACTCATTGTGAGCCGTGATAGTGCAGTTTTTAATGAGGACAGGAGCATTAGTGCCCTCTAAATGTCGAGAGGATACCCTCAGGGAAAAGTGTAAACAAAAACACACACTGTACTCTGAAGAAGGAATTTACCCACACACCTCGTCTTGTCCTTGAGCAATACTTAGAGCATCAACATAAAAAGAACAAAATAAACCACTCTTGGAAATGCTGCAATATATAAACATGTTTTCAAGGTAATGCTGACGGAAATATTGTGAATAGAATTTTTAATCTATCAAAGACTGTCTTTCTCCAAGGTTTTTGCTCAATCTTGATTCTTTGTTAGTTCTTACATTCACTTTGGCACTGCTAATATATCCAAAGAAGCGTTTTGAATCCTTTTCTATGAGACTCCTGCCTATTCATTTATTTCTGATCGGAATCAACTTCTATGTATGCTGAAATTAATTTTATGCAGATGGAGAACACAACCTCTTCACGGCAGAGGCTTTACACAAAGACTGGCATGGTCACACATATTTTTTCTATCCATGTATATCTAGAGATGAAAATGTTATGAGGCCATGTGCCTTTGATTTGGTCTGTAAAGGTGTCTCTATTTTAGCCTTGTTCTTGTTCCTGAGGTGCCCTGTAATCACAGACAAATCCTCTTCACAATGCTCCACTGTTGATTAAAAACATCAACAGTCTATGGGAAAAATTGACTAACGCACACACACACACACACACACACACACACACGCTCAATCCAATCATCTCGTTTTGGGGAGCAGGACATCACAGTTCATCTCATCCGCTCGTCCAATGTTGTGTCTTTATGGAGCCACAGTCACTAACAGTTGATCATCGCTATAATTCTACTTCACAGAAGTCTTAGAAAAGTCACTTTCAGAAGGGAATCAGACTGCATTCCTTGGTCGATACATTTCCAAGGCTTTTACTTTGAGCGCTGTGGAGATTGGAAACTGTGTTTCCAATCAGGACCATATGGCCCTGACCTGTGGAGTCCCACAGGGGTCGATCCTGGGACCTCTTCTGTTCAATCTCTACATGCTGCCGTTAGGTCAGTTCAGCCATTCCCAAACTCAGTAACACCGAGGCCCCCTTAAAAATCTGACGGGTCTGCGTGGCCCCCCAAAAATAATAACCAAGAAGACAACATTAAGAATAGGCTCTTCTGGTTATTTTATTTTGGGGAAATAGCCTCTGCTACAAACATTGTAATACAAAAATGATTACAGTGGATTATTCAAGTCAAATAATGAACACAAATATTTTAATATTACAAACAAAACATTATAAATTTAACATTAAATAATTATATTTTTTATTTTATTTTTTTATGACCTCCCGCGGCCCCCCTGCAGTACCCTCGCGGCCCACCAGGGGGCCGCGGACCCCACTTTGGGAGACACTGGGTCAGTTAATACGCAGAAACAAAGTGTCCTATCACAACTATGCAGACGACACTCAGATCTATGTCTCACTGACTGCAGGAGAACATGGACCAGTGGACTCACTCCTTCACTGTATCCAACAGATCAGTGAGTGGATGCAAAACAACTTCCTTCAGCTAAACGCAGACAAAACTGAAATGATTGTCTTTGGTCCCCAGAAACAAAGAGAGAGCGTCATCTGTCACCTACAGTCTCTCTCCCTAAAACCTTCAAACAAGGTCAGAAATCTAGGGGTAATACTGGACTCAGACTTAAATTTTAATAGCCACATCAAATCAGTAACATCAGCAGCTTTTTACCATCTAAAAAACATTGCCAGGATCAAAAACATAGTGTCTAAAGCAGACTTGGAGATTCTTATCCATGCATTTGTCTCCAGTAGGTTAGACTACTGCAATGGCCTGCTCACAGGTCTGTCCAAACAGGCTGTAAAACAGCTGCAGTACATTCAAAATGCAGCAGCTCGAGTCCTGACTAGAACCAGGAAGTAGGACCACATTAGTCCTGACTAGAACCAGGAAGTAGGACCACATTAGTCCTGACTAGAACCAGGAAGTACGACCATATTAGTCCAGTTCTCAGGTCTCTGCACTGGCTTCCTGTGGCTCAGAGAATAGACTTTAAAACAGCTCTGCTTGTTACAAGTCTCTCCATGGCCTCGCACCAAAATATATTAGTGACATGTTAGTCCCATATGAACCAGCCCGGACTCTGAGGAGCACAGGGACTGGACTCCTGCTGGGACTCTGAGGAGCACAGGGACTGGACTCCTGCTGGGACTCTGAGGAGCACAGGGACTGGACTCCTGCTGGGACTCTGAGGAGCACAGGGACTGGACTCCTGTTAGTGCCCAGAGTCAGAACTAAACATGGGGAGGCTGCTTTTCAGATTCATGCTGCTAAAATCTGGAACAGTCTTCCTGAAGATGTGAGACAGGCCTCCTCTCTGACAATGTTTAAAACCAGGTTAAAGACAGTTCTGTTTAGCTGTGCTACAACTGAGGGATTTTATATTTTTATCTTTCTTTTTAATGTTCTGTGATTATTTATGATTTTAATGCTTTCTTGTTCAGCACTTTGAGTTGCCTTGTGTATGAATTGTGCTATACAAATAAACTTGCCTTGGATCATTTCAAACTCAAATCGACTGCCACATCCATTAAAATACACACATTGGAGAATTTGCCAGACCCTCCTGGACATTTAGCATCTGCATGTTTCATATCACTTTGTCTTTCTTCCATAAACGATGTATACATCATTTTGAATAGACCGACAACTGTGAAGTGACAGCAAAATTACATTTTATACATGTTGTCTTCAAGCCATTCCATCTCTCTACAAAAGGCTTTGTAGAGAGATACTTGGCAAGCATAGTATTGATGATTTGAGCAGCTTTCAGCACCTGTATTTTTCTCCATCCACCTTCCCATCAACTGACAATATTCCTTTCTGAAGAGAATCAGCCTCACGCCATGATGCTGCTGTGAGCCGTGTGGTGTTAGTTTTGCACCACACATTGTGTTGCCATTTGGACATCTTGGTCTCATCTGACCACAATGTGTCCTTTCACTTGGCTTTATTTTTTATTTCCATTTTCCAGATTTGTGAAGTGTATGATTGTATGTACAGATGTACATCTGTCCCTGAACTGTGTATCTCTGACCAGTGCTGGTCTTATTTGAAGAGGTCGCCCCTTCCTTATTAGGTTTGACCTCGTCTGTGGGACGTTACAATTGTGTGTAATTGCCAGTTACTCCACACATGACGTCATAAGTGACGGTACTCCGGACGGTCAGACCCTCTGACCATCACCATTAGTTCATTCACTTCTTTTCTGTGGTCAGAGAAACCAAAGCACCCGGAGGAAAAACTTTTTGCTGCACTAATCACTGTGCCTTCATGCCTCCCCATGCTTTGAACCTCTCCCCAACTTCATCCCTGACTGCGCTGGAGGGTTCCACTGTCTTCATGATGCTGTTTAGCGACAGATACAAACTTAGCTCTGATGCTATGATAGAGCATCCGGAATCACACTGAGATAGAATAACACTCTTCTAAAGGCAGTTGGTCGACGAATACAGATTTGTTTTGTTATGGTCTTTGAAAGAAGAAATAAATACAATCATTGTGGTTGGAGCATTACAAAATGTGCAAAAGTTCACACTTTTGATCCCTAAACGTGAGAAAAAGCTAAAACCCACCAAACATCATTATGTGAATGAGTCACCCGGGAGTAATTTATGATAATTTCACAGACCCATTATGAGTTCCTAAAATGAAAGGTTGCCATGAATTATGTATTCTCTATTACAACGGACTACATCCAATTATTCTGTTCCTAAAACATGTTCGGGTCAATGTGACAAAAATTCAGACGAGAAATACCACAGCAGCCATAATGGTGTTGACTTTTCAGTGATCAAAGCTGGCCCTGCTACATTGTATAGCCCTTGGTTCTACTCTACTCTACTCTTTAATCGGCTCCAATCTACCTGCGTCACCATCACGCTTTTGTAACTAGGGCCTTCTTCAAGCAACCTACCCCTAACAAAGAAGTGTCCGGGGGCATTTCTTGGTTACCTATGGCTTTCAGCTGCAGTTTAAACACTAGGGTAGAGTATTAAATGCATCTATCCGAGTACCTCTGACTCATACACTTAAAGACACTTATAGCAGCACCTCAGCCTGGTTAGAAAAAGTACCTGGTACTGGTTAAATGCTCTCAATCAGGGTAAGTAGAGCCGGTGGAAACAGGGCTTACGTGCAGCTTGTGTGTGGGTGTCAGTGTGAACATGCTTCTCTGTGTGAAAAAACCCACTCTTATTCTTTCATCTGGGGCTTTAGACTTCAGACGTGTTGCTTTGTGTCCTCTCTTCTGGAGCATAAAGGTTGAGGTGTTGTGATTACAGTTTACCCGCTGAGTGTGTTTTCCTCTCAAGAAGTTACAGTGCAAAACGTTCAAAGGAACCGAGCGTCACATCTATTTTCTCCTCCGCACAAACCTCACATCAGATCGATAAACTGATTTCTTGTTGACGTGAATTTTCTTCATGCAATTAACTGAGACTATACAACTCAATGTATAATTGTGTAGCCCTAAATCACAACAGTAGTTATCTAGGAGGAATTTGTCAACACAGACTCTTTAAACACAAGAAAAAACATAGAGCCATTGGTCCATAAGGTTAAAGTGCTGCACATACAATACACTCACACAAATAGTATATAGAGGAACACACAACTAAAACTGCACTTCCACACATATGGACCGGCCGCTGAGAAGGCCCTCTCTCCGGGTTTTAAAGGAGCAGTATGTAAATGTCTGGCCAAAAGTGGTACTGCAGCCTCTCCCACTCTCCCTGACTCAGGTTGCCAGATATGCAGACGAATCCAGCTGGGACCATAACAGCTGAATAGACAAGAGTTTTGTCAACAACAAATCTATAACCAACACCTTTTTCACAAAGATAGAAATCCTGCTTTTATTTTTTGTTTTGTCGTTAATGATTTGAGAATCATAACGAGACCTTTTTTAGTTCTGCGCCACATGGTACTTTACCAGTGAGATTAGCTCCACGCGGTGAGTTCTGGCGCCCGGATCACAGACTTTCTGATTGGTGAAACGGTGGAGGGCGGGACATCGAAATGAAAACAATAACAAGATTTAGGAGCGGCACGGTGGTTGAGTGGAATGCACTCTCCCTTTCTGAGGTTTCCTCCGGGTACTCCGGTTTCCCCTATCACTAAAAACATGCACACTAGGTTAAATCCTCCAGCTCTGGTCCTGACCAAGCCGAGCATCAACATCTGGAGATGGGTTCCCGGGCGCTGTTACTACGGCGACCACTGCTCCTGACGTAAGCCTTAGTGCATCAGGATGGGTCAAATGCAGAGGATGAATTTCCCTATTAATAAAGTGCACCTTTACATTTACAAAACTAATTTTTAAATCCAATTATCTCTGAACTACTGTTATCAGTTTAAGAAGTATTGGAAAAGAGCAGGTTTTATTAATGCCTTTTGACAGATCAGGGCCGTTTAATGATGACTACATGAAAATCTTACATATCGCTACTTTAAGTTTCGTCTTGGTCACCATGAGCACGAGCGGGTGCTAAAGCTGAACTCTGTAAATGTTAAATTATCCACATAAATGCATTGTTATGATTCTTCAATATAGAACATTGAAAATAAGTATCTGTAGCTGAATAGATTTGTGTTCAATAGGCTCTGTGGTTCATGAGGGTCGTAGGCCTGTTGAGGGTGTAATTACTGTGTCATTGTCTAATGCCAGGTTTGTTGTCCCTGAGCCAGACCAGCTCTACATGCTGAGCCCCACAGCTCAGAATAACACAGAATAATAGTGCTGTGCCGACTGGAGAGTGCCAAGGGAGGACTTGTTCTGCTGCAGACAGACACAATCCGTGCACTATAATTGTCATAGAGATGTTGCAGGCTTGTCAGCAGTGGTCACATCAGGCTCTGTTGATACCACCTTTCATTTACTGTTTGGCCAAAGTGCTGTTTCCCATTAAGATACGCACTATACCATATTCATTTTCTTCCTTAATATCACTCTTACTCTGCCATAGCAAGGGTACCTGACTTTCAAACCACAAAAAGATCCTCGCTTTTGGTTTGGTTCTATCTAAAAATGGACTCACATGAATCTTTCTAACACACAAAACGAGTGTGTTTTTTTCTGATAAGATGAAGACAACATGCTGTGCTTTAATTTGTTTACAACATTTCATTTTTACAAGACTCTTTCATGTATTGTTTATGCAGAGTTTGTTGTGTTAATCAGAGGATGGAAATCAAAGAGAGTATGTTGTAATATAATATAAATAAAAACATATATAATAGTGTGTGATAAACGTTGCACCATTAGGTTGATGTACAGCATGTGTCTGCAGATTCGTTTAGTTAATTATTCTGCTTGATCCATCACGGTGTCGGGGGTGTGTCCTTGCTTAGCGTTTTCTTTACATCACAAACAGATGACGTCACTTTGAGTTCTGCTGCTTCTTGGTTTGTGACATTTGCTGCTTGGTGCTTTTCACTCAAAGCTGCCCCTCACCGTGTTGGATCCCATTTGTCCTTTCATTTACTTTCAGCCAGGAACCAGTGCAAAAATGAGTTTGTCCCAGTGGGGGCGTGTCCCAGCTCCAAAAGGTCCATGAGCATGTGAGCTGACCGGTGGGGGTGTACCCGGAAAGAGAATTACCCAATTCTTTTGTATGGCGTCTTCTTTCCTCTCGAAAATGGCTTTACAGGACGGTCCAAGAGTCGCTTTTGGCCCAACGCTACATTCCAGATGTGTGTCAATGCTTTTGGACCAGTCTAGTTTAGCCGCTGTGGACTTTTGAATGCACATATTAAAAATGAATGGGGCTAACACATTTCATATTTTTAAAAAGCCCACAGAAAGCAAAAGTGGTGGCACATTAGTTTCAACAGCGTCACTATGTGTTAATATTTACAGTCTGTGGTTTATCCCCTTCGCTTCATGTTGGCAGGTCCCCACCAGCGTCGCATTAGTTTTTACTTTCACAATCAGTCCATACTTCCCTGTCTTTCACAATAACTCTCGCCTCCTCCATTGCCATAGCTCTCACATTCAATGCTCCTTTCACTCCATCCATACCTTGACCTACCACTCGGTCGACTATCACTCATGCAACTCTTCATCACCGTCTTCATCTCTCTTCATTCATTTTCTGCTTCTGCCCAGACCCTCTCAGTTCTCATGGATCTGTATTACTCATTCTTCTCAAGCATTTAATTCAATTCATACAAAACATTCAATTCCTTCTCTTCACACCACTTACAAACCCTTCTTCCCCCTTACGTTTACATTCTTCCCTCTCACGGCTCCATGCCTTGTCACCCAAAGTAATTCTATGTGCAGCCTCTCTCAACAAACACAGACTTCTTCTACCTCCTGCCCTTTCAAACACACATTTATACCGCTCTCCTGGAGTCAGACACCAATGCTGTATCATCAGAAAAATAGTAACTCACAATGTGGGTCTCCCCGAGGTTTCTCACTTTTCTCACACTGGGTTTTAGAGTTTTTCCTCTGATGCAGGAGTCTGTTGGACAGTTAGTGCCTATCAGAAGGACTGTGATGATCCAGGACACTTTAACATTCAACAACATTCATGGTCATTGGTCTCTCCCTATGGACCAATACCATGTGGTCGATATATTTTTTTACTGTTGTGATTTAGAGCGATACTAGAATAAATTGACTTGAATTCCCCTTCACCAACTCGCACCCTCCTCTCGACATATCTACATTCACTTATTCAGTTTGTGTATAATTTTTTTGTTATAATGTCGCACAGGCAACAGCACAATACAACATTTGACTATACTGTACATATGCTAGCTTGATATTATCTTCAGCAATAATCTAAGTTATGATTGACGGGTGGTATGACTTATTTGTGGTTTAAAATGATTCTGTTCACACCATACTGTGTTGATAATATGATTATGAACGGGCAACATCAAACACCATTTACGATTGGTTTCTAAATGACTGCCTTTGTTATAGTAATTGTACACTGTGTTTGTTTGCAGGGACGTTGAGGAGGAATTGGAGGTGGTGTGGCAGGTGGCAACTAAAGAAAACCAGCAAAGAAGAGAGCTGTTTGCCAGCTCAAGGTTTGGCCTTGGACATAAATGTGCTTCTGGGGAAACAGATGGGACTCTCACTGAGCGGAGACTTACTTGAGCTTCACTCCCATTGATGGCTTCAGACTTCACAGAGCCTAATCCTGAAGTTCTCCTACGGGGATCAATAAAGCATCTATCTCTCTGTCTCTCTCTCTATCTACTGCATGTATCTCTGTATTTTTACTATTATCATTATGTATGTTTTTGTTACTATATGTTCCATGTTTGTAATCAGCAGTCTTCTGTAAACTCATACATAATGTTTTATTTCTGCAGAGATGTCTTTGAGCTAATTTTACTCCAAATATTACTGGAATTGCAGTCTGCACAGAGCACACTTTCTGATTCCCCATTTGCAATTGAGACCTTTTCTCCTCTCTCCTCTAATACGAAGTCACGGCAAAGAGCGCAATACAATATTTGAATATACTGTACTGTATGCTTGCAGGATATCATCTTCAGCAATAATCATAAGTTAGGATTGACTTACAATTATGACTTATTTGTGGTTTTGAAGGAGTATTGGCCTTTGAGCCAGAAGGTCGTGGGTTCGAACCCATCTCGGGACCTACTCCAACTGCTCATACTGATGTCTGCTATCGTTGTGTCCCTGAGCAAGACACTTAACCCCACGTTGCCGGAAGCTCCCGCTGAAACACCAAGGCTGTGGCACCACTGATGTAGCAGCCATCTTCCTGTGGACTCACCCCCTGCAGAGGATCAGCGAGAGACTGGTGCTTTGAGAAATGGTTGGCAGCTCTGATTGCCCCCCCCAACAGAAATGGATTAATAAAGGGGTTGAAAATGAATGAATGAATGAATTAATACTGTATTGCTGATAATATGATTCAGTTATTTTATTATGTTGTTGTATGCATGGTGAGTCAAAAATTATAATTATGGGAGCTATTGTACATGTTTTTCGTGGTCAGGCAAACCGGAGCACCCAGAGGAAAACTTATGCAGGCACGGGGAGAACATGCAAACTCAATCCAGAATGGAGGTGGACTTGAACCGAGGACCTAGAATATACCTGCCTGACTCCAGTTCCAGTGAAAGTTCCTTTGTTCTGGGTTTAATTCCTAAAGCTAAACTATGTCAATATAATGCAGCTTTTCTGAACTGTACTTTGTTACTTTGGATCTGGCACAATAAAGCAACACTTTTTATGAACAAAACCCCTCTGAAAGCCAGCTCAGTGCTTTTGCTCCTGGGAGACTGGGAGAGGCCGGACGTTTTTCTGGGGAAGGACTTTGTTGCCATCTGCTGGGCGTGTACCGCTATTTATCATTCAATATTTCTCCTTTCATTTCATTCAAATCTCCACAGCTCTTCTGTAATCTCTCCCACTGTCTTTTCCACTCTGCTTCAATCTTGTCCCAGTCATATGTTCACAGCCCTTTCAGCCTTTCAGACAAGAGAAACCATTATTATAGGATTTTAACTCCAAAACGTTCATTCAAAGTGAGGGTTTTTCTCAATTGTGTGAGCTCAAGTTACACCCAACAAACACCTTCACTATTTTTGTTCAATAACTTCCCCAACAATGTGAAATGTCTATAAATGAGACTGAGGTTGTGGTGTTATGTGGTGCAGGTTGGTGTTGATCCCTGACCACATCAACCTTTGCTCTCCTGTGACTAGAACAGCACCTGCAACCTCAGAACGACCAGAACGACCAGAGACAGGACGACCAGAGGCAGGACGCTGACTATGTAAACTCTCTGCTTTTAACAATCACTCATAACGTAAGTCCTTTTGCTTTTCTTGTCTTTGCTGATGTCTATGTGATGGTGAAGATATTTGATCATATGTGTGTGTTTTTGTGTTACTTTGTGAAGGCTGAGTGAGAATCAAACCGGTCCAATTGTGTCCATGAAGATGAGAGATATGACTTTTAACACACAATAAGTCCAAATTTTACGCCAATAATCACTTTTTTTATAAATTGTCCATGACGTCTGTCTTCTTGTTCTTCTTCAGGGTTTTGTCTCTGGTTTCAGTCAGAGCAGGATGTTGTTGTGTAGTGCTTTCTTCAGACGTAGATGGATGAGGAGGTTGGGGGGAATTTCCAGAGCCTGATGACTAGAGCTGTATGTTCTTCCATACGCAGAGCTCTGTCTGAGTTGGAGAAAGAGAGAAGTTCAGTGAAATTACCTGAAGGCAAGGCAAGGCAAGTTTATTTATATAGCACAATTCATACACAAGGCAACTCAAAGTGCTGAACAAAATAAGAAAGCATTAAAATCATAAATAATCACAGAACATTAAAGAGAAAGATAAAAATATAAAATCCCTCAGTTGTAGCACAGCTAAACAGAACTGTCTTTAACCTGGTTTTAAACATTGTCAGAGAGGAGGCCTGTCTCACATCTTCAGGAAGACTGTTCCAGATTTTAGCAGCATGAATCTGAAAAGCAGTCTCCCCATGTTTAGTTCTGACTCTGGGCACTAACAGGAGTCCAGTCCCTGTGCTCCTCAGAGTCCCAGCAGGAGTCCAGTCCCTGTGCTCCTCAGAGTCCCAGCAGGAGTCCAGTCCCTGTGCTCCTCAGAGTCCCAGCAGGAGTCCAGTCCCTGTGCTCCTCAGAGTCCGGGCTGGTTCGTATGGGACTAACATGTCACTAATATATTTTGGTGCGAGGCCATGGAGAGACTTGGAGAGACTAAAAGCTAAGAACAGCAGTATTTTAAAGTCCACGCTCAGGGCAGGATGGTCTGACTTACACATGTTTATATTATTGTAGAATCATGGTTCTGGTTCTGGTACTGGTCGGTCAGGCAGAGTGAGAGGTGAATGATTTAGACGCATGATTCTCTATAAAAACATCAGGTAAACAGTGGTTGTTCTGATGAGAAAACCAACTGCATAGATTGTTTTTGGCTGAAGCCTTGGTTTGTCCTAGAGTCAAACGTGCAGAAAGTCAATAAACCTGTTCATGAACCAAATAAAACAATAAACAAACTATAAACACTGAAGCAGGACTAGCCCCGGGCTCGTACCACACCACAGTACAAATTACATTTTGTCACATGCAGGGTTATGATGATTGACGGAGTGTACGGAGGCCAGGCTAAAGCAGTGGGGTTAGGGTTTGGGTGGTTTTATAATGTGAAGGCTCACTGTGGTCGCCCATGGCAACAGTCATGGCACAGGTCATATAGAAAAACAAACACTTAATTATTGAAAATGACAAGATTTTAAGATATTGTCCAATTTTGTTTGGTGTTTGAACTTCTGTTTGATAACCCATAACATATTAATAAAAATAAATGTCTAGGCCTGACATAAATCTATCCAACTTGTTTATCAGACGTTGAACACACTTTTAAATGACAAATAAAACAGGCCGAACATATGTAAACAATTGAAATATCAATGAAGAATTTCAGTCTAAGCAAACATGAAACTTGTGAACGTTTAATGGTATTGTTTGAGTTTGCAGGTGATGAACATGTTTTGGTTTTTATGATTTTAGATTTGTACTGAAGTGATTTTGTATGAATGTATTTATGGGTCTGTCTGGGTCAGCACTTTGAGTTTCCTCGTGTATGAATTGTGCTCTAAACTTGCCTTGCCGATATGTAAAAGGTTATTACTTTACTTTTCTTTATTATTGGAGACAACTTTTTTGCGTTTTAAATGTTGTCTATTTTCTTTACTGGGAGAACAGAGTCAACATCAGTTTTAAATAGTGCTTTTTTGGGAACTTCACATGGAACTATTTATCCACTCAGTATAGATAGATAGATAGATACTTTATTGATCACCCGTAGGAGAAATTCAGGTATCCAGCAGCAGAAGACAGGTTTGTTGGGTTTGTGTACACTACTACGTATACTGTGTACCTACTACCTACATACTGTGTACTACTACCGTATACTGTGATACACTACTACTGTAGCCACAGCTGCCTTGGTCCAGACTGACAGAAGCGAGGCAACTCCTCTCTGCCATCGGCCCCTCCCACCACCACCAATCATTCACACAAGCACCAGACTCATACTGGGCAATGTGGGTGAAGTGTCTTGCCCAAGGACACATTGATAGTCACTTTACAGCTGCTCCACTGTGGCAACTAAGTAATGAGTGGTCTCCCTTCAATGTACTAACCACTCTGTTCCCTGCTTAGCTTCTGAGATCACTGGGAACAGGTCAAAACTCAAAACTTGAACTACACACACATTGTTATGCATTAAATTAAAATATATTCTGCAGCTGGGATAGTTGTCATAGGACAAGAATCACTAACATCATATTCTTTTAATTAATCTGAATTCAGCCCGTGGCCCTCGTAAAAGCAACACAATGAAGAATGAATACGCCTTGGATCAGAACGGCACCAAAGAAAAGTCTTGGGTGAGTAAATATACACTCTGACATTTTAACATCCAACTGTAAAATGCGCTAAATAAATAAACATTACTGACTTACATCGAGAGCTTGGATTGTGTTATTATTGTGTTTTTATGATTTCCCCTTGAGTCAAACAACGGAGACGTGTGGACCGTGCCCACGGCAGAAGAGCCCCGATTGGACAAACATGTTCCACCGCGGACTTCTGGATTTAGAAAATACTACCAGAGCCTCCAGAGCCTCAAACCCATCCGCTTTTCCTCTCCCGAGTCCGTACACTTCCTGACATTCATTTTACATATTTCTTACAATGTTGTTGATCATCAAACACTGTATTTTGATGAACTTTTAAGTACATACATGTTTTCTTTCTTCATCGTTGCAGGTCGACCCCACAAGACAATGCCGGGTTTCTGTCCTTCACCACCTTCGCTTGGATGACTCCCATTTTGTGGTCGGTTTTCCGGAAAAAGCTGGATGTTAGTTCGCTGCTGCTCTCTCCATATGACACGTCGGACGTCAGCACGGAGAGGTATGATGATAATGATAATAGATAGATAGATACTTTATGGATTCCATCCATCCATCCATCCATCCATTTTCTTCCCCTTAATCCATTTCTGGGTCGGGGGGTGGCAGTCAAAGCTGCTCCCAGTCCACAGAGCACCAGCCCCTCACTGATCCTCCTGCAGGTGGTGAGTCCACAGGAGCTGAGATCTTTCAGTGGGGGCTTTGGGCAAAGTGGGGTTAAGTGTCTTGCCGAAGGACACAACGACAGCAGTCATCAGTGGGAGTCGTGAAGTAGGTCTTATGGTGGGCTTGAACCCACGACCTTCAGGCCCAAAGGCCAATGCTCTACCAACTGAGCTACTGTCGCCCTTTATGGATTCCCGTTGGAGAAATTTAGGGGTCCAGCAACAGAAGACATAGTAGTAGTAAGTAGTAGTAGTAGTAGTACAGATTATTTCGAGCAAATAAGTGTACAAGGGTTGACAGTGGCTCAGTTGGTAGAGCAAGGTCATGGGTTCGAGCCCACCATGAGACCTTCTCCACCGACTCTCACTGATGTCTGCTGTTGTTGTTGTGTCCTTGGCAAGACACTTAAACCCACTTTGCCTGAAGCCCCTGCTGAAAGATCAGGGGGCTGGTTCTATGTGTACTTGGGTGGCATCTCTGCCCCCCCGACCCAGGAATGGATTTAGGGACGGATGAAAGTGTACAAGAAACAAAAGTAGAATATCAAAATAGTGCGTACATAACCCTGAGTTACATTTACATAATACAAAATTATAAATATAATATACGCAAAAGAAACACTTTCAGATACTTGAAAAGGAGTGAGAAGAAGAAGAAAAACCGTATCTAATCCCACTGGTTTCTTCAGACATATTACTCATTGAGCTTCCTGTTTGCTCCAGCACAAAATCAAAGAAAAATACACATTTAAATCAACTGTTCACATTTTACAGTGACAATAGTAAAATAGTAAATACCAATATATGAAGTTGTGTTAAAAGTATGTGTTCCACTTTAGTGACATATTAGATGTTGACACAGGAGTGACCTGAGAGATGCTGAAGTATGGTTTTGTTTCTAACTCCATGGGCCTGCCCCCCTCCCCTCTGCGCTCGTGTTAAGCCTTTTCCAATTTTTAATCAGGTTTTTGATTGACAGCCCGGAACCAAATAATTATGATAATCTCACACGGCTGTAAAGGCTGAGATGTGGAGGATGCTTTTTCATTATTATTAAATACATGTGTGTCTGTAGCAACTGTAGGACGAGCTAGTATGAGGAGAGATTGGTTGGTTGGTTGCTTGGTTGGTTGAGTGGTTGATTGGCTGGTTGGTTGGTTGAGTGGTTGATTGGTTGGGTGGTTGGTTGGTTGGTTGGCTGGTTGGGTGGTTGGTTGGTTGAGTGGTTGGTTGGTTGGTTGGTTGGTTGATTTGTTGGTTGGTTGCTTGGTTGGTTGAGTGGTTGATTGGCTGGTTGGTTGGTTGAGTGGTTGATTGGTTGGGTGGTTGGTTGGTTGGTTGGTTGGTTGGCTGGTTGTGTGGTTGGTTGGTTGAGTGGTTGGTTGGTTGGTTGGTTGGTTGATTTGTTGGTTGGTTGGGTGGTTGGTTGGGTGGTTGGTTGATTGGTTGGGTGGTTGGTTGGTTGGGTGGTTGGTTGGTTGAGTGGTTGGTTGGTTGGTTGGTTGGTTGATTTGTTGGTTGGTTGGGTGGTTGGTTGATTGGTTGGGTGGTTGGGTGGTTGGTTGGTTGAGTGGTTGGTTGGTTGATTTGTTGGTTGGTTGGGTGGTTGGTTGGTTGGTTGATTTGTTGGTTGGTTGGGTGGTTGGTTGATTGGTTGAGTGGTTGATTGGTTGGTTGGGTGATTGGTTGGTTAGTTGATTTGTTGGTTGGGTGGGTGGGTGGTTGGTTGATTGGTTGGTTGGTGGCGTGGTGGCTGAGTGGATTCCTAGTCGGTCCAGGGCCTTTCTGACTGGAGTTTGCATGTTCTCCCCGTGTCTGCATAGGTTTTCTATGTGTGCTACGGTTTTCCCTATACCTCTAAAAACATGTACAATAGGTCTCTCCGTGTGGAGTGGGAGACAAATGGCCATAATTGTCGGTCATTTACCTAGATAGATACTTTATTGATCCCCGTAAGAGAAATTCAGGTGTCCAGTAGCAGCAAAAACACATACAAACAAAACAAATAAATAGATAATTCTAAAAGTAGCTAACAATAGTAAAATGCCACAGCACTTTAGGTCACAGCAGCAGAGGTGGAGAAGGTGCTGGGTTCGGACCATTTTCTCTGCTCTGGTCCAAAGTGAAATGCTGAATGCTTTAATTACTGCTTTTTTCCAGATTAAACAGATTATGGGAACAGGAAGTGGCCAGAGTGGGACAAGACAAGGCCTCTTTGACTCGAGTGGTGATGAGGTTTCAGAGAACCAGACTCATCACATCCTCTATTGTTGGAGCTGTTGCGATGATGGCTGCGTTTATCGGCCCAGTAAGTCACTACACACATTTCCTCTAGTTCTGCCTGAAAAAACAAGGCAAAGGCAAAGATTGTATGTTTGTTTGAAAAAGAATCTCCCTCCCTTTAGCCTCACTGTGCTCACTATCACACTAGTGTCAAAACTATCTGCATTCTAGGAGCAGTCAGTAAAAATCTGGCCAAAGGTTGTACTGCAGCCACTCTCCCTGACTCAGGTTGCCAGATATGCAGACGAATCCAGCTGGGACCATAACAGCTGAATAGACAAGAGTTTTGTCAACAACAAATCTATAACCAACACCTTTTTCACAAAGATAGAAATCCTGCTTTTATTCCTTGTTTTGTCGTTAATGATTTGAGAATCATAACGAGACCTTTTTTAGTTCTGCGCCACATGGTACTTTACCAGTGAGATTAGCTCCACGCGGTGAGTTCTGGCGCCCGGATCACAGACTTTCTGATTGGTGAAACGGTGGAGGGCGGGACATCGAAATGAAAACAATAACAAGATTTAGGGGCTGGAAAAGTAATTTAGAAATTCAAATATCTCTGAACTACTTTTATCAGTTAAAGAAGTATTGGAAAAGAGCATGTTTTATTAATGACTTTGGACAGATTAGGGCCCTTTAATGATGACTTGACATTAAAATCTTACATACTGCTACTTTAAAAAGACTAAAAAACTACTTTACCAGTTCTTGAATATGTTTTATTAATTTTAAAAGCTTAAAATCAAACATAGAAAAAGATAGCCACAGACGCAAAAGAAGAGAACAATAAGTATGAAAAGGACAGATCAGTAATAAATGATTTCCTCAAAAAGGTTTCATCCCCCACAAGCTCTTTTCTTTCTAATGGATCTCATCTCATGATATGTGAATTTTATGAAACACCAGAAACAAGTGCTTGTACGTAACAGTTGCAAAATCAATCTTTAGGACGATCCCATGTATTTCATTGCCTCGTCTTGCATTTTGATCTGACATTTTGTTCTATAAGTAGTTGGATTGAATGAAGGAATAAAGAGTTTTTTGTTGAATAATTTTCGAATGTAAATAATGTTCTTCCTACTTTTCCATAGGCCATTGTTGTTAACCAGATCCTGCAGTTTATAAATGTTCCGTCTCACTCACTGACCACCGGGGTAGGACTCGCTGTGGCTTTGCTCGCCACTGAGTTCTGCAAAATCTGCTTCATATCCTTGTTCTGGGCCATCAACCTGCGTGCAGCTGTTCGACTGAAAGGAGCCTTCTCAGCACTGGCTTTCCAGAAAGTTCTGTCCTTCAGAGTCAACTGTGGGCTCACTGTCGGCGAGGTAAACATCCAATCAGAATCAGGGACTTGACCATGACCCAAGTCGCTGCCAGAGATTCATGAGCGTACCCTGAAGACTCAAGAGTTTTAAAGTAAAGTGGGCCGTACAAATAGTTTAAACAAATTAAAAAAACAGATTAATTATAAGCCCATTTATTTGGGAATTATGCTTTATATTTCTCTCTGCAGTTCTACGTCATGGTGCTACGTCCCTTAGCGGACTTCGCTAGTGGGATATCACGTGACCCCCAGGTCACACGCCAGAGAGATCAAAATAATTTGCTCCAATCACTAGCGACCCTCCTCTATAAAGGCCCCTGCACAAGGCCGCACCCCCTCTTTCACTCTGGCGCCGATTGAGATCTTACCTTACCATCATACATACTTCATGTCTGAGATGTCTACCCCGACTGCACGTCCGAGTTCCCCTTCGCCCTCCGGTGTCGGACGTCGTCGGTGCTCCATCTTTCGGGTCAGGCTTCACCGCACGGATCAGCATGCCAGCTGCTTCACGTGCATGGGCTCGGGCCATGCAGCGGAGAGCGCTAGCTGCGCCTTGTGTCTCGCTCTCCCCAGAGAGGAGAGGGAACGCAGGCGCGCGCTCTACGCCGCTACGGTGCCCCGTCCGGACTCTTCTAAGGACGAGGAGTCCGAGATTGACTGGGTCCCACTCGACCTTCCTCCTGTGCCCGCGGAGTGGGGAGACTGCGAGGTTGGAGACTCGGAGGACGGCTCGCTCATCACCCTGGACGAGGTGGTTTCCAACCCGGAGCCGGACCGCTTCCCGCTGGACCACATGCCGGGTCTCTACTCGTCCGCGGCGGCCATCATGGGGGCCCCCCTGCCACCACAGCCAGACCGAGCGGTGGTGGACTTCACCTCCGTTGGCGCCGCACCTCGGGGGAGGAAGAGAAAGCAGCCCACGCTGTGCCTGCGAATGGAGCCGATCCTCCATTACGCGACGCGTGAGTGGTCCAAACCTCTGGCAGCCAAGAGGCCTGCCCTGGGTTATGGGATGTACTGCAACGTGCAGGACTGGTCCTGGGCCGGTGGTGTCCCGGAGATCGAGGACTCGGTTCGCATGGCCCTGCTCCCCTCCTCATCTGTGTGGCCCGGCACCAGACCTCTCCTTCCCTCCGAGCGGGATAGGATGTCTGTGGCGCTGCTGGATAGACGTTACGCAAATGCGGCTCAAGTCGTCGCATTGGCGAACAACATGGCGTTCCTCACGGGGGCGCTGGATAGATCGCTCTCCGCTGGCCAGTCACTCAGCGGGGACCGTCTTTCGGAGGCGAGGACCACCTCCGCGGCGCTCCTGCGCATGAGCCAGGCGTTTGCCGTGGATAGTAGCCGCAGCAGATATCTTAGCTCCATAAGCAGTTATTCTCTTTTGCTCTTGTCAAAATACCTACAAACTCTAGTCAATAATCTAATCTAATTCATGACCATAAAGTCATCAATCCATTACATGTTTTTACCCGATGCTGGTGACATCACTTATGGTTGTGTCAGAGATGGGAAAAAGGTTCTTAAGACCCAGGTTTAAAAAGACCACTGAAGTGAAATCAAGTAAAGGAATATCATTTATTGTAAAATCCATGAATCCCAAGCTAAACACAAAAAACAGGGCTAAAAGACAACTAAAACGGTCTAAAAACCATAGACTGTAAATATTAAAAACGCACAAAATGGCACGGTGGCTGAGAAAGGTTAGCCTTTCTGAGTGGAGTTTACAAATTCTCTCTGTGCTTGTGTTAGTTTCCTCCAGGTGCTCCGGTTTCCCCTACCACTAAAAACCCATACAATAGCTTTGAATGTAATGAATGTATGATTGAATGGATGGATTGAACGGAGGCTTTGGTGGTCCAGTGTGTTCCGCGTCTCTCTTCCGTCCTCACCATGTGTGAATGGAATAATATCTGGTTTCTGAACATTGCAAAGCGCTTTGGTGACCTTGGTCTGTAAAATGTGCTTTATAAATAAACATTACTTACTTACAAAAAACATATTTAAGAATCTGCCAATGACATTTGCTTACGTCTCATGTGTGAATCTGAATCAGAATCAATTTATTACCGTTTGCAGAAGAAACTACACGGGAAAACAAACAAGAGACACTTGCACCAACACCACAAAGCACACACACACACACACACACAAATAGCGAGGCAAGACACAGTGAGGCACATATAAAACTCTTAAAAGCATAAAACAAAAGCATTGCTGTTTAATATTCTCTCTCTCCAGTTGATAAACGTGTTGACCGGTGATGGACATCGGGTGTTTGAGGCTGTTACTTACGGAGGGTTCATCCTGATCTCCCCAGTGCTCCTTATCGCCTGCATGGGGTACGCTTGTTATGTGTTGGGAGTAACAGCCCTGGCTGGAGTTGCCGTCTACATACTCATTCTACCGTTACAGGTAAGAAAACCAAAATAACAGTCCAATCCAAGAAGTCAGTTATAATTGTGTCTAATTGTGGTTGTCCTGGACAGGTTTTAATTGGAAAAATGATTGAAAAGTTCCGACTTCCTGCCATCAAGTCAACAGACAGTCGAGTTCGCAAAATGAACGAGATCCTGAGCAGCATCAAACTAATCAAGATGTATGCTTGGGAGGAGAGCTTTGAGCAGGAAGTTGCAAGTATATACTTATCCTCAAGATGCATGTTATTATTTCATAGTCATCGTCTACCAATTCAGTTCAGTTCAGTTCAGTTCAGTTCAGTTCAGTTCAGTTCAGTTCAGTTCAGTTCAGTTCAGTTCAGTTCAGTTCAGTTCAGTTCAGTTCAGTTCAGTTCAGTTCAGTTCAGTTCAGTTCAGTTCAGTTCAGTTCAGTTCAGTTCAGTTCAGTTCAGTTCAGTTCAGTTCCGTTCCGTTCCGTTCCGTTCCGTTCCGTTCCGTTCCGTTCCGTTCCGTTCCGTTCCGTTCCGTTCCGTTCCGTTCCGTTCCGTTCCGTCCCGTCTTGTATAGCCCTAAATCACAACAGTAGTCATTTGATAATAATACATTGGTTTTATAGAGCGCTTTTCAGGACACTCAGAGTCATTATTCATTCACTCCATACAGTACAATACTACTGTAGCCACAGCTGCCCTGGGGCACACTGACAAAAGCGAGGCAACCAGTCTGTGCCATCAGCCCCTCCCACCACCACCAACCATTCACACACACACCAGACTCATTCAAGGCAATGGGGGTGAAGTTAAGTGTCTTGCCCAAGGACACAACGACAGCAGACATCATTGGGAGTCCATGGAGAAGGTCTTGTGGGGGACTCGAGCCCACAAGCTTCAGGCTCAAAGGCCAATGCTGTGCCAACTGAGCCCCTGAGCCCAGTCCATCTCAGAGGACTTAACAAAACCGTTAAAATCGTCAACACAGATCAGAGAATCCACCGTCAAGACACAAAACATATAGAACACATGGTATTGGTCCATAACGGGGAGTTGACCAAGTGTCCAATCCACTTTATTTATATAGCACATCTCATAAACACAGTTTCCAAAGTGCTGCACTATAGAATACTAATTAAAACAAATCCATAGTAAAACGGTATAATCATTAAAATATCAAATATGAAAAACCGTGGGTGCATACATGTATAAATATAAAAATAACAAAACAAAATAACAAAAGTTAAAATAAAATAAAATAAAAGGACCATACAACTGTAGAATGTAGAGCACACCATTTTATTTTATTAATAATTCTAAAACATGTTGATAACTTCCTTCACTAACAGAGAATGAGAGTGACTGGCTGTGATTTAGTCTGTGTGGTTCAAATGCTTTGATAAAACAGTAGAATATTTTACACCATTTAAATCATTGTTTTGTGAATTCACTGAACTATAAAATAAATGGATGCCTTTCAAAAAAAATGTATTGAACTTGGGGACATAATTGTTGCATTTAGGACATGTCGTGTTGGAGGCTTTGTGAACGGAAGAATGAACAGAGAAGACTATTTATTGATAATGGTTGGAGATATAACTATACTCAATATGTAATTATAGATTTTACATTATGCAAAAAAAATAAAAATTCAATAACTCCAACAAACTGGGCGTCTTGGAGCTCTGTTAATAATACGGGCGTGAACGAATCAGTGTTTAAGTAGTGCGCCCTCTACTGGACAAACAGCTGGAAACAAAACAAGAGTCTGAACATTCGGCGCTAACGGCCGCGGACATTTCGGGACGTTTTTGTGTCATTGACAAAAAAGTAACACATTGATACAGTTTAGTGTCGAGTGAGCCATACAGTATATAAGATAAGATAAGATAAGACTTTATTGATCTCACACTGGAGAAATGAACGTGTAACATTTGGCACACTCAGACTGTGCAAAAGTGTGCAACATGTTAAAGGTTAAGATATGTATGTAATATGCATGTAATGTGTATGTTGTAGGTATCAGAAAGGAAGAACGGACAAATATGAGAAATGCCAGTTTTTTTGAGAATACCAACGTCAACATCACGACTGTGTGTCCGCTCATTGCCACCGTGGTGACTTTCTTAGTCCACACTGCGTTGGGTTTCTCGCTGACTTCTGCTGAGGTACGTAACCGTCCATCGGAGTTTTAAGACCTATTGTTTAGTTAATGATTGACATTCATGTGAATTTAAGTGCCACGAGGCAATGTACAGTAGTTATTGCTCTGTCACAAACAACAGACTATTATCACTGGGGCATAAGTCAGAACCATCCTTTGAAAAAGATAAACAAAATTTACCGTCAGAAGAGCTCAAATACATTTACATAAAAGTAACATTCAATAATTAATTTTCTTATGATGATTGTGAATACTGTTCTTGGACGGCACGGTGGCTGAGTGGTTTGCTCTCTCGCTTCTCAGCAAGAAGGTCCTGGGTTCGAGTCCCGGTCGGAACAGAGCCTTTCTAAGTGGAGTTTGCATGTTCTCCCTGTGTCTGCGTAGGTTTTTTCCAGGTGCCCTACCACTAAAAAAATGCACAATAGGTATGACTGTAGTGAGTGACTGAATGTATGGTGTTTGGTCGGAGGTTTTGATGGACCAGTGTGTCTCACTTCCGTCATCACCGTGTGTGAATGTAAAAATATCTGAATTCTGAACATTGGCTCTTTGGGCGACCTTGGTCTGTAAAATGTGCTATATAAATACACATTACTTACTTACTTGTTCTGTGCAGTCAATGATGAACGTCGATTCTGATCTGATCTAAAGTGTGATTGTCGGAGTTTAGGCAAAAGCATTCATTAAAATGTTGTATTTCTGTGCTCCAGGCGTTTACCACCATTTCCATATTTAATGCCATGAGGTTCAGTCTCGCTGTGATCCCTTTAGCTGTTCGAGCGATTGCTCTTGCTGCTGTTTCACTCGGACGCCTCCAGGTAAACTTTGATCAAATTAATTATAAAATCATATTATAATGATTATATATTCATATTTTTCACCAAAATGTCGTAGTTTATAAAGGTTGTTGGCCAAAAGACCAGTTCTAAAGAAAGATTTCTGTTACAGAAAATATTACGAATCAAAAATCCAGAACCGTATCTGGCTCAAGGGAAGGACCCAGACTTGGCTCTAGTCATGGACAATGCCAGTCTGTCGTGGGGGAGACCAGAGGCAGAACTCAGTCCTCAGGATGTCACCAAGGGAAGTGCAGACTCTGAGCTGGTGGTCAAGTCCACTTTGAAGAACATATCCTTCAAATTACCAAAGGTAAAAGACTGAAGGATCAACGAGGGACCGGTGCCGTGAGCTCTGGGCAGCTCTGATTGACATGTTTTTACTGTCACTTTATACATTTATGTATCAGAGGTCCCAGACCCTCCTAAGTCTGGACCAGGACAGAGACAGATTAAGGACCGTTATGATGCAGGACATTTATTAATTTTGGTCATCCCACTCCAATGGGTTTGTTATTATTGCTTTTTTGTGTTAGAACTATTAGATTTTTGATCTGTTGTGTGTGAATCAACAAGTTGGTAAAGTCCTCCGAGGTGACTGCTGTACGGAATTGAATTGAGCTTTCAGCTCCACTGTAATTCCAAGGTCATTTTTATATTTACTGATGTTGATCGGCTGAACTCTCTTGGTCCACTTCATGTTTTGCCTGAGAAGTTCAAGGAAGTGAAAACAGATTGTGTATTTTGTGTAACACTAATGTCTGTTTTGAATCACACACATTTAAATTGACCAACTTTAAGATGACTGTCTTTTTCCTAAAGGGAAAACTTCTTGGAGTGTGTGGGAATGTAGGAAGTGGTAAAACATCTCTCATTGCTGCCATTTTAGAGCAGGTACAGTGTACACTTAGATAATAATACATATGCAAATATATACACATATTTACTAAACAGTAGAAATTATGTATTTGACCGGTTTGTTCCAGATGTACCTTCAGCAGGGATCAGTCGTGGCCTCAGGGACCTTTGCTTATGTTGCTCAACAAGCCTGGATATTCCATGGAACTGTCCGAGAAAACATCCTGATGGGGGAACCCTTTGAGCAGAACAAGTAATTATCATTTATTTTTCTTGCCGTATTTGATGATGATCGACACGGTAGAACAGATTCGATCTGTTTTTATTTACTCACTTTTAGCACAGTTGGGAATCTGATGATCAATCAGGATTAACGTCTATCAAAACAACTGATATTGAGAAAAGTTATAGTAAATCTCATACTTTAATGTAGGCTCTCAGTCGTACAAGGATTATTAAAACAAAGAAAGGTAAAATAAGATAAGATAAACTTTATTGATCCATGAGCGCAGACGATGAGTGAGAAACCTTCTTTTGTTTTGAATAACTCTCGTACTTTTGCTGTGCACAGGTATGAGCGAGTCCTGGATGTGAGTTGTCTTCGTACCGACTTAGAGATTCTCCCATACGGGGATCAAACCGAGGTATGACTCTTCTTAGTGAATTCTGTGAACCAGAAGACGCTAAATATTGACATTTGTAACACATTTGTCCGCAATAGTGAGGCCCTGTTTCCCTATTATATCTTAAATGTTACGTCACACCGCTAGAAATTAGATCTGAAAACGGCAGCATGTAGAGATTGAACAGAAGAGGTCCCAGGATCGACCCCTGTGGTACTCCACAGGTCAGGGCCATATGATCTGAGACACAGTTTCCAATCTCCACAAAGTACTTCCTGTCTTCAAGGTAAGACCTAAACCAACTTAGGGCGGTGCCAGTGACGCCAACCCAGTCCTCTAGTCCAGTGTTTTTCAACCTTTTTTGAGCCAAGGCCCACTTTTTCATGGAAAAATCTTGCAACACACCACCAGGAGAAAATGCAAAAATACATACTCTGTAGCCTATATTTACAATATAAAGTCATTCTCATCAAAGTGCTTAAATCCTGGCCTTGACATTAAGCTTGGTAGAATATTTCTCAAAATGAAGAGTTAACAAGAGTTTGGAAATAAAGTGGCTCTAACTGTATTGTTGCATATTTCAGAAATGCAGCACATGTCGATGCACACTTTCTGTCATCCATGTATCAACATCTATGAAAAGATGAAGCTCTATATTTAATCATGAAATGTTTTATACTAATGATTAATCATAAAGTGTTTTTATAAAAAAAAATTAAATGAATCGTTTGGTGTTTGCATAAAAAGCCTCTGTATAATGTTTAGCCTGAGTCTAGTGAATTCAGGGAATATTCAAGGACAAGGTTGGTTTCTGTGATAAAGTGTCTTTTTAGGAACAAAGCATACCTCTCTTATCAGGAATGAGACCCAAAACCAGACCAGACCAGACTCAAGGAATTGGAAAGGATGCAGCGGGCGTGTTTGGAGGCACTTCATATTCTGCTAGACATTTTCATAAAACTGTTTGTAGGACATTTTGAAAAGCAGTCTGAGCAGGGACAGAGAGAGGGGACTTCTCAGAGCCTGGATGTCCTCCCTCATGTTCAGGCCTGGAGAGACAGCTCAGGGGTAGTTAGGGAATTGTTGATTGATTTTGAACTCTTGAATGCTTGGTCTTATTTCTGTATCAAATTCTGAGACACGTCCGTCATTCTTTGACAATAAAATCTACAAAAATCCACTCTCAGCCCGAAAAGTCAAATAATGACTCAAAAAGCTCTCATGTGTGAAAAATAATAATTTAAAGAAAATGACCTGCTGTGTGTTCTATTTGATTTGGAAAATGCAGGTATCTGAACTTTAAATTGCGCTTCGGCAAAATACATGGGAGAGACACGGGGAGACACAGGAGATGGTCCTGAACACAAGTCAGTGGTTCTGTCTGCGCGTCCATGGTTCGCGTCCATGGTTCTGTCTGCGCGTCCATGGTTCTGTCTGCGCGTCCATGGTTCGCGTCCATGGTTCTGTCTGCGCGTCCATGGTGCTGTCTGCGCGTCCATGGTTCTGTCTGCGCGTCCATGGTTCTGTCTACGAGTCCATGGTTCTGTCTACGACTCCATGGTTCTGTCTACGAGTCCATGGTTCTGTCTACGACTCCATGGTTCTGTCTACGAGTCCATGGTTCTGTCTACAACTCCATGGTTCTGTCTACGACTCCATGGTTCTGTCTGCGCATCCATGGTTCTGTCTACGAGTCCATGGTTCTGTCTTCGAGTCCATGGTTCTGTCTGCGCGTCCATGGTTCTGTCTACTAGTCCATGGTTCTGTCTGCGCGTCCATGGTTCTGTCTGCGCGTCCAAGGTTCTGTCTACGAGTCCATGGTTCTGTCTACGACTCCATGGTTCTGTCTGCGCGTCCATGGTTCTGTCTACGAGTCCATGTTCTGTCTTTGAGTCCATGGTTCTGTCCTCGAGTCCATGGTTCTGTCCACGCGACAAGGGTCCGCGAGCGGCACCATGTTACGGATGTGCGTTCGCTGAGCTGTTGTCAAAGTGGCCACAGCTGCCCCAGGGTCAGAGCGGAGGATGTGAATCCTGTTCAGAAATGGCAGAATTCCTTTTCAAAAACATCTCAGTCACTTTCACTTCTCTCTTGCCAAAATTCTCCCCGCTACATTTGTTGGTCGCGTCCAATTCTTGCATTTCTCGCCACAATGCTCCCCGCTACTTGTTACATTTGGTGGTTGCATCCAATTCTTACATTTCACTTTCACTTAGCTATCTGCTGCCACCTGCTGATATGAAAAAGTATTACGTGGTTACTCCACAGTTAAGACAAGTCAGCGCTCGACAGCGGTGAATGCAGTTATATTTTAGACAAAGTTGCCGAATTTCTCACAGCACACCAGACAATATCATACGGCACACTAGTGTGCTAGTCCCGCGGCACAGTGTTGAAAACCACTGCTCTAGTGATGGATCTCATGGTCTATGAGGATCTCATGGTCTTTGAGGATCTCATGGTCTATGAGGATCTCATGGTCTTTGAGGATCTCATGGTCTATGAGGATCTCATGGTCTATGATGATCTCATGGTCTTTGAGGATCTCATGGTCTATGAGGATCTCATGGTCTATGAGGATCTCATGGTCTTTGAGGATCTCATGGTCTATGAGAATCTCATGGTCTATGAGGATCTCATGGTCTATGAGGATCTCATGGTCTATGAGGATCTCATGGTCTATGAGGATCTCATGGTCTATGATGATCTCATGGTCTTTGAGGATCTCATGGTCCACAGTGTCAAAAGCTGCTCTCAGCTCCAACAGGATTAAGGTCCAGGGTGAGAATTGAGACGGGCCTTTTTTCTCCCATCAGTGGTAGTAGTAATTTTGTTTCATAACACCAAAATAATGTATAAACTTTCTTGTTTGTATCGTTAAACATACTTCTGACTGAAATTTTGCCAAAAATCAAAAAAAAACGGCGACAGTTCACGTAACAGTAAAATAAAAAACAACCAATCATCATTCATCATTATATTCACTTTTTCTTAGTTCATCCATTTTTATATGATTTATCTTCCTATAATTGTCTACTATATATTCTTTGAAAAGTATTTTAAATGCTTTTAATGTTGTGGCTCCCTTCCCTGAAATACACCTGTTTTTATCATTAATCCTTACTTTATCTTTTTGAAATAATCCTGTCCTTCTTAAGTCTTAGTTTTTCTAAACCATAATACAATCAGGAAATAATCCTTAAATTTAATCATTTCCAAATGATTTATTTCTCCTCAGATTGGAGAGAGAGGCCTGAACTTGTCGGGAGGGCAGAAGCAGAGGATCAGTTTGGCCAGAGCCGTGTATTCCAACAGAGACATAGTTCTTCTGGACGACCCTCTCTCAGCGGTGGACGCTCATGTGGGGAAACACATCTTTGAACAATGCATCAAGAAGGAGCTGCGTGGAAAGTCTGTCGTTTTGATCACTCACCAGCTCCAGGTATTTGTGTGACCAAGGTTTGTGGTGGAAGCAAGTGCAGATCTACACCACATACATGCTCTGCTCATGTGTCGCTCAGTACCTGGAGTTTTGTGACAGCGTTTTGCTGCTGGAGGACGGAGCGATTGTTGAAAGTGGACATCACCAGGAGCTGATGGGACTGAACCAGCGCTACACTCAGCTCATCAGCAACTATCAGACACAACAGTCCAAGGTAAGACACCCTTAGTTTCGTGTCATTTATTATTTATATAGATATTAAATCAGCATTATGTAAGATTTTCATGTCAAGTCATCATTAAAGGGCCCTAATCTGTCCCAAGGCATTAATAAAACATGCTCTTTTCCAATACTTCTTTAACTGATAACAGTAGTTCTGCCGAGATATCTTGTTATTGTTTTAATTTCGATGTCCCGCCCTCCACCGTTTCACCAATCAGAAAGTCTGTGATCCGGGCGCCAGAACTCACCGCGTGGAGCTAATCTCACTGGTAAAGTACCATGTGACGCAGAACTAAAAAACATCTCGTTATGATTCTCATCTGTGTATTAAAGGTGTTGGTTATAGATTTGTTGTTGACAAAACTCTTGTCTATTCAGATATCTAGTAGTAAGTAGTAGTAGTAATCTTTATCTATATACCGCCTTTCACAGACCAGAGTCACAAAGCATTTTACAATTGTGGGCATTATTCTCTCACAGAGATGGGAGCGGGGAGGCGGAGGAGGCGCATGCCAGACCTACATGTTTGTACATGTTTATAGTGGTAGTGGAAACCGGAGTACCCGGAGGAAACCTACACAGACATGGGGAGAACATGCAAACTCCACTCAGAAAGGCCCTGTTCAGACCGGGATTCAAACCCAGGATCTTCTTGCTGAGAAGTGAGAGTACTAACCACTCAGGCACCGTGCCACCATAATAGCCGGGAGATATCATGGTCCCAGCTGGATTCGTCTGCATATCTGGCAACCTGAGTCAGGGAGAGTGCAGTGCCACTTTTGTCCAGATTTCTTTACATACTGCTCCTTTAACATGAATCTAAAATACAATAAACTTGTCAGTAGGTAGCTTGGCATTCCACTTGTGCTTAAACCTTCACAAACCAGAAGTGAGAAGATTCCTGATGTCTTCACTGATTTATTTGGATTTTTTCATCTTGTCAAAGGAGATTGTGCTACAAAATACCCTTAAAATACAGCTGTGTCTCCATTTAACACCAATGTAATCCGCAGAAGCTTTCCCACAGTATTTAAAAGACATGATATTCTGTGTGTACGTAAACTTCTGAAAAATACCTCTCAATGTTGGCAATAATTCAAATAACTGACCAAAAGACCAAAACATCATTACTTTTGTTAGAATTACCTTCAGACTATTATTAACCCTTTAAGCGCCAAAGTCGCAATATTGCGACAAGCAACATTGCTCACTTAAACAGACTGTATGTAAAAATGTGGTGCAGAATCTTGTTAATACTTTTCACCAGGGGTTAGTGGACATGTGTGCCTGTAATATGAGCAACATTTGTGGGTGTGGTTATATTGAAAGTTTTTGAGTAAATTGAGTTTGTAAAACACCTGCGGCGCAGCGGCGCGGAGGCGAAGCAGCAGCGGTAGAGCTGAGAGGAGCGAGAGCAGAGCAGAGGGAGAGAGTGTTTTTTATTTTACTCACGAGGTCTTCAGTACCAGAGAAGTACTTGGTCTGGTACTGGCTCACTCAGATTCAGAGGAGGAAGACACACAGGTGTCCAGTGAAGCAGACACGGACATTATTGGTGACGGGGAGACCGCGCTCCATAGTCCACAATCAGCCCCTGTGCAGCGGCTGCTTGTCCTCCGTGTGGCCGCGGTAGAAGCATTCTGTGAACGCCAAGCAGGGGCCGGGGTCGAGGGGACAGGGGCATCATAACACCGGGCATGTGGGAGAAAGTAGCGGGGGTAGACATCCACGGGGAACACGGGAAACGCGGGAGAAGTCGCGGGAGAGCCGCGGGAAAAAAACACATCGCTAATCGCGTTCACTGCCTTTACCAGCAGCGATGATGAGGATGAAGACAGTTCTTGAGAGAAAATAATCCACAAAAGTGGATCAGAAGTGTTGAAGAGCCTGTTGTATGTTGTTGAGACGATCTGACAAGTTCTGAGCCCATTCATTTCATCTCTCTGTTTGTAAACGGTAAATCCTTGAGCCTCATTTCCACTGAGAAAAATAGTAAGCTCACCACTTCTTTGAAAGGGAAATATTGAAACCAATCTCCAGATTTCATGACTGTAAACTATAAAGAGTGCTGTCTTGATCACTGAAGGTCTTTGAAAATAATACAATTCCATTTGGCCGCGAACTAGTGCTAAAACATTATCTATAATCTGGATCAGGGAATTTATTTCTATCTCAAATTCATTTAATAATAAATATATTTCACATTGACTGTTTATAGTATTCCCTGATCTCAAAAAACTCCCAAGCTACATCTTTTTGAAGTCTTTATACAATAATTAACATTTTCCAAAATGGCCGCCACATTGATGACGTCACAATATGCAAATTAGACGACAAATCAACTTCCATCCCAAAGTTTGGTTCAAACTGAAGATATTTCTAATTTACAGTATGCCTTTATCTCAAACCATTTTAAAGTTATAGCCTTTTGAAATCTTGAAATCAAAATTGTATATTTTCTTGAAAAAACTCTGACGCCTAAAGGGTTAACATCATTATTATTCTAGGACCAGAACAGTGAAGATGAGACACTTATTCAAGACAGAGTCCAGGAAGACACCATGAGAAGAGCCCGAGCAGAGAGTGGGATCGATAACCCAGGTTTGGACTCACATTTGAATTATACATTTTTCTAAAAGAATGAATTTAGAAATACGTTTAGAAAACATTTGAACATGTTTTCTCATTCCTTCTAGGCTTTGACATGTCAGATGAAACCATTGGGCCTGATTCCCCAAAATGTAAGTTATTGTTTTTTTGTTACGGTTGTGTTTTGGACCCAAAGCAGCGACAGACAGAGCTGGATTTAACACCAAAAATGTGCTTTACAAAAACAAAAACACATAACAAAAGGCAGGCAGGACACAGAAACTCACACACTGACATCGTACACTGTGATATGGAAGAATCTGGCCGAGAAGTGACGTCCGCGGCAAAAATCCCACCCCTTCTCCCCGCCCCCCCTGCTCCCCACCACATCCATGCCCCTCATCTGGGCTTTAAACAACCGTGCCCTGGTCCGACCACTTTCAACCACGCTCAAGCCCAGTTGCCGCGGGACCTAAAGCCCGGATCTAATGGCGTTCTGGGCCTGGGCCCTTTAACTAGGCCTTAAAGCCAGAGAGTGATGAGAGGATGTGGAGCTGCGAGCCCAACACCTGCTGCAGAGCCAGACACACTCCTGTCACACACACGCCCTGGAAACACAGAACGGGACGGGGCAAAAAACACAAACTCAACCATATATTTATAGTCTCTTGTATTGGTGTAGAATCTTGACTCTTAATGGAAATAGAAGGTTAAACAGAAAAGAATTTGGTTTATAAATAACACTGTAGTGATCTTGGAATAAAAAGAAAAAAGGTTGTTTGGAAAAATTAAATGAATGAATAAATAAATACAATATTTTCTTCTCCTGTAGCTCCCGATAACAAAGAGCAGCTGGTGGCACAGGAAGTCTCCACCCAGAGCACCATGGACTGGGGCGTCTACTACAGCTACATCAGAGCAGCAGGAGGTGATGGAGAACTTCACAATCCACAAATGTAACGGACCAACTCCAAATCAGAACTGACCTAACTTTGTGTTTTGTGTCTCCTCAGGATTGTTTATTGTTTTTCTGATGATGATGCTCTTTGTCTTACTTGTCGGAACCACAGCCTTTGGCAACTGGTGGCTCAGTTACTGGGTTGGACAGGGAAATGGGGTGAGTGAATCCATTCGGGTTTATTGAAAGATATACTGACAAAAATAAAATCTCTGAATCCAAAACAAAGGAAGGTTGCTCACCCATCAACTGAAAATGTTTTAATCTTGTTTTAAAACCTTGCTTAGTATTATTTAAGGACACATCAGCCTAGTTGGGTGTCACCGACAAAAGCTTCCCCCACATAAAGAAGCAAAAAAAAAAGTTCAGACATTTCTTGATATCTTCATACTGTTGTATTTGTTTGCACCTGTATATAGTCATTATAAAAAGCACTATGCAGATTTTTTATTATTTTTATTCATGGCTTATTACATTTTTACTTTTATAACTTTGTTTGCAGCAAGAGCCGAATCAATTACCTAATTTGTAACTTGGCAATAGTTCTGATATGTTTAGATAATAATAATAATAATAATAATAATAATAATAATAATAATAATACTGTGAGATTAAGATGTAAAATGTCTTCTTTTGACAGTCCACGAATGCGACCGCTTCAGACCCGGGCAACATCACAGAAAACCCTCGTCTTTCCTTTTACCAAATGATTTATGGTTTAACTGTTGTCATCATGTTGGTGCTCGCTTTTATAAAGTGCTTCGTCTACACGACCATCACGATAAATGCGGGCTGCAACTACCACGACAAAATGTTCCACAATGTAAGTATTTCATAATAAAATATGAACTTATAACAGTGAAGTGCTAAACTATTTTCCTTCACATCACTGCCAGGGCTCTTTACAAAACAAGTACTTTAGGGTGTAAAGGAGGATTTTGTTACGTTTAGTTTTCAAACCCCAAAGCAGAGGGAGGCCAAAGCAGTTTAACCAAAGTTTTTAATAACCAAAAAATGCAAAAATACTCAAAAATGGTTGGAGCAGTGGAGACAGGGAGCAGGCCGGCCGAAGAGCAGAGCAGAGAAACGAGGACTGGACGAGCACAGGATCCAATCCAATCCAATCCACTTTATTTATATAGCACATTTAAACAACAAAACGTTTCCAAAGTGCTGAACAACAATAACAATAAAACAAAAACAATACAAATGAGCTCCACCAAATAAATAGAAATAAAACAATTTAAAAGACTGAATAGAAATAAAAACACATTAAAAACTACAAATAAAAATAAAATTCAATAAAATAGATAAAAAGACACAGGGGGACCACACAACTTACGCGGTGCTAAAAGCCAAAGAATAAAAGTGAGTCTTAAGACGGGATTTAAAACACTCCACGGTGGGGGCCGTACGGATGTGGAGGGGCAGAGCGTTCCACAGCTTAGGGCCGACAATGGAGATCGCTCTGTCCCCTCTGGTTTTACGGTTTGTCTTCAGAACCACGAGCTGGAGCTGGCCCTCAGACCTCAAAGCGCGAGAGGGCCGGTAAATTTGGATGAGGTCTGTAATATACTGAGGGGCCAGTCCATTCAAAGCTTTAAAAACAAACAATAACATTTTAAAATCAATTCTAAAATTAACAGGGAGCCAGTGCAAGGACGCAAGGATTGGGGTAATATGTTCGCGTTTTTTGGTCCCTGTTAAGAGGATCTGGAATTGCAACAGGAAGGTGAGTAATCCAAAACTCAGGTAAGTAGTGAAGACACGGCGTGGTAATACGGACATGACGGAATTATCTGGCAGAGGAGTGATGAGTAGAGTGGAGTGAGTGGATGCAGGTGTGTCTCGTCAGCAGCCCAGCAGAGACCGGCCACGCCCTCAGCAGAGACCGGCCACGCCCTCAGCAGAGACCGGCCACGCCCCCAGCAGAGACCGGCCACGCCCTCAGCAGAGACCGGCCACGCCCTCAGCAGAGACCGGCCACGCCCCCAGCAGAGACCGGCCACGCCCTCAGCAGAGACCGGCCACGCCCCCAGCAGAGACCGGCCACGCCCCCCAGCAGAGACCGGCCACGCCCCCCAGCAGAGACCGGCCACGCCCCCAGCAGAGACCGGCCACGCCCCCAGCAGAGACCGGCCACGCCCCCCAGCAGAGACCAGGCACGCCCCCCAGCAGAGACCGGCCACGCCCCCAGAAGAGACCGGCCATGCCCCCTGTCTCACACATGCTCTGGAAAGAAAGATGGAGAGAGATCAAAAACAAACAGAACCATGACAGATTTTCCCAAATTTTAGGAACGAACCGCCCTCTCCACTTTTTGAACCAAACTCTCTGGTCTTATTTGACGAGCACGTATCACCAGGATGATTGACAATCAGGAGGACCAACAGTCTTGATGATCCACCGGGAAGTAGAAAATACTTCTATATTCCTTTAATTTTAAAAGCAGTAAAAGCAGATTCTGTCCATCATGGGATCTTGAGATCATTGATTTCAAACCCATTAACCGACACAGCGGGGACTGGGCTCAGAGTAAAAAGTCCCATGGCTGGTGCAAGAATATAGCTCAAGCATTTGCATCAACAACAAGGTGTCGATAGTTCCAACGCTAAAGATCCAAGTTCCTTCAGACCAACTGTGAGCTCATGGCACAAAAAACAAATGAGTGTGTCATAAACTGGGACGACAGTGGCTCAGTTGGTGGAGCATTGGTCTTTGAACCTAATGGTCATGGGTTCGCTATCCTCCTGTGGACTCACCACCTGCAGGAGGATCCGTGAGGGGCCGGTGCTAGCTCTGATTGTCACCTCCCAACCCAGAAATGGACTAAAAAAGGAGATGAAAATGAATGAATGTAACATAATCTGCTTGACTAAGAACCCATTATATAAATTTGTGTAAAGAGGATACATCTTTATCATAATGGATCTTTTTTCTTCCATAGGTCATATCTCGACCCATGAGTTTTTTTGATACAACCCCCGGTGGTCGTATCCTGAACCGCTTTTCTAAAGACCAAGAAGAAGTGGACACGGTGCTTCCAGCTTACGTTGATCCTTTTATTCAATACAGTCTTTTAGTCGCCTTCACTCTGGTCGTCATCTCCTCCATCTTCCCGCTCATGCTCTTGGGCGTGCTGTTTTTTGGACTTTTGTTCGCACTCGTCCTATTGTGAGTTTTTTCATGTTATCGTTTGGGAATAAATGTTTTAATATTTTATTGGAAATGCCTTAAGAATGAACAAGAGCTGCTTCGAACCATTGCCACTGATCCTTAAAGTAGCAATATGTAAGATTTTCATGTCAAGTCATCATTGAA